CCAATCAGACTTATCTCTCTTTCTGGATTCCACAGCATTCTTCTTGTATTGCTCTCGTCATCGTGACCTAATCTCGATTCGATCCAACGCCGTCAAATCTGTGTCCGAAGATCTACTTCCCCAAAAGCAGACAGATCGATTCGGCGTAATCTGTGTAGGGATTTTTGGATTGTTTCTCAAATAGAATCGATCAGATCGGATAGTTTAATCAGAAGATGAAGATGGCGGCCAATGGCCGGTTTTTCACAATCGGGCTCGTCGCGTCTTGGTATTCGTCGAATATCGGAGTTTTATTGCTAAACAAATACTTGTTAAGCAACTATGGTTTCAAGTATCCGATCTTCCTAACCATGTGTCACATGACGGCTTGTTCGCTTCTCAGCTACGTTGCTATTGCTTGGATGAAGATGGTTCCGATGCAAACGATCCGATCTAGAGTTCAGCTTCTTAAGATCTCAGCGTTAAGTCTCGTTTTCTGTGTGTCGGTGGTCTTTGGGAATATTTCTCTAAGGTTTCTTCCTGTTTCGTTTAACCAAGCGATCGGTGCTACGACGCCGTTTTTCACCGCCGTGTTTGCTTATTTGATTACGTTGAAGAGGGAAGCTTGGTTGACTTACTTCACTCTCGTTCCAGTCGTTACCGGTGTTGTCATTGCTAGTGGGGTAATTGGTTTTTTTAACTTTCAAAATGTGTTCTTGGCTTTTGTATATTGCATATTGACATTGGTTCTGATTCGATTCGCAGTTTATGTTGAAATGGAGGTGTAATGTGTTTGTTTGGCTGATGAAATCTGTAGCTTTAGGTAGATAGATAGACATGTGAAGTAGAGGCGAATTTTACGGTTTAGGAATCGAAGATTATGAGCTGAATTTGGTTGATTCAATTCATATTTGGATGCTGATACTTACATTTCACCTTAGAAAACATTTGGGATCTGCTCTGAGCTCGAAGCTGCTGAATTCTGTTAACTTTCTTACTTTATTTCAGTCACTTCAGGATATGAACTTTGTATGCTGCTCAATTGGTTTAGTTAGAAGAAAAGTTGTTCTTTGATGTCTCCAGAGTATAGTTCCTCTTGGATCTAGTCGATTTCATTTTCTATATTGACTTGAGTCTCTATATCTGATTTTCCTCGATTTTCATGTATCGGTCAGGGTGAACCAAGTTTCCATCTGTTTGGATTCATTATGTGCATTGCAGCAACAGCTGCAAGAGCACTTAAATCAGTTCTTCAAGGAATTTTGCTATCTTCCGAAGGGTAAGAGATAACAGTATATTTCACAGATTTATCAGGCTAAAGTTTCATCTTTCAGAACTCTGTATATTTGTTAAGAGTTCTGCTGAAAAATCTTTACTGAATTTGTTTGAAGGGAGAAGCTAAACTCCATGAATCTCCTCCTTTACATGGCTCCCATAGCTGTTGTGTTCCTTCTTCCTGCTACCCTTATCATGGAGAAAAACGTTGTTGGCATTACAATTGCACTTGCCAGAGACGATTTTAGAATCGTTTGGTATCTGCTATTCAATTCTGCGCTTGCTTATTTCGTGAACTTGACCAATTTCTTAGTCACGAAACACACCAGCGCGCTGACTCTGCAGGTAAACAACACATCTCTTCTATAGCGTGTGACCACCTCTTATAAGTTATGAACGAATGATAAAACTCGTCCATGACAGGTGCTAGGAAACGCCAAAGGAGCAGTAGCAGTGGTGGTTTCGATCCTAATATTCAAGAATCCTGTCTCAGTGACTGGAATGTTAGGTTACTCGCTCACTGTCTGCGGAGTTATCCTCTACAGCGAAGCCAAGAAACGAAGCAAATGAGAAAGAAGAGAAACCTTCATTTCATTTGTTCGGGCCCTCACGTAAACAAACACAAGGCAAGTTTTCTTTTGATGTGAACAAAAGCATCTTTGGACCAAAAGCAAAGGATATGCAGAGCAACACTAAAGGATCAGAGTACCCGTAAGCAATCATTTAGAGGAATTTACAAATAAGTGAATTTTTTTTCCCTTCTTTTTGTTTGTTCTTTAATTTTTCTATTGCTTTTGTCGTAGGTTGTTCTAAGAGTAACTTCGATTTAGCTTTTTTGGTCCATTCTTTACATCTAGTTTTGTGATATCAAACATTTACAATATTGATTAATTAATGGTAAAGGACAAGGCTTTTTTTCACTATCTGTGTGTATCCAACTTATGTTCTGCAGTTACACTGGATTATGATGTCAAGTCACAGGTTGGATTCGTATTTGTTTGCCATAGATTCTTCAAATAGGGATGTAACTATATCCACTTACTTAAAAGTTAGTGGTGTTTAGTGTCAAAACTGGATATATTGAATATTGAGTATATAGATGAGGCATATAATTGACAATATATCAGAGAGCTATATCCAGTTTCTAGTTAGCTGAATACTCGAGGCCTATAAAGATAAAACAAACAAGGCAAAGACGATGAAAAAAGAAGAAAAATAACTAAAAGAAAAATTAAAAAAAGATATCGAGAAGAAAAATAAACAAAGATCG